TGTTTACAAAGATATGGAGGAACTTGAACTCTTATAATCTACTAGTGGGTAAATAGTACAAGTTATTAGAAAAAGAGTTTGGAAGTTTCTTTAAAAGTTAAATGTATACCTATCTTGTTACCCAGCCATTTCATGCCTATGTATTTACCCAAGACAAATGAAACCATATATCAATACAAAAACTTGTACACAGATATAGAAAGCAGCTTAATTTGTAATAGCCAAAATATATACAACAACCTAAATGTTAACCAACAGATGAATAGATGAACAGATTGCAGTGTATCTGTACAATGGAATACTACTCAGCAATGAAAATGAATGAACTATCAATAAGGTACAACCTGGATGAATCTAAAATACGCTGAGTAAAAGATGCCAGACCAAAAAAAGAATATATTGTATGACTTCAGAATCATATATTTTCAGAATATACAGTATTTCAGAATATATCTACATATCCCGAAAATGCAGACTAATCTATAGTGACAGAAACCAAAGCATTGATTGCCTGGAGGAGAGGGCCTGGATTACAAAGAGGCGGCTGGGAGTGGTGGCTCATGGCTGTAATCCCAGCACTTTGGGAGGCTGAGACGGGCAGATCATGAGATTAAGAGATCGAGACCATCCTGGCAAACACGATGAAACCCCGTCTCTACTAAAAAATACAAAAAAATTAGCCAGGCGTGGTGGCGGGTGCCTGTAGTCCCAGCTGCTTGGGAGGTTGAGGCAGGAGGATGGCGTGAACCTGGGAGGCGGAGCTAGCAGTGAGCCGAGATGACACTACTGCACTCCAGCCTGGGCCACAGAGCGAGACTCTGTCTCAAATAAATAAATAAATAAACAAAGAGGCAACCCCCTTAACCACCCACCAACATCTGCAGACCATAAGGAAGTTGATAAAGCTGTTGGTGTCTCAAGGGCAAAACCTAATAGCTTCTTCAGACGTGGCCAAGCCAGGTAATGAAAAAGAGGCATATTTCAGACAGGAAAGCTAGGAGGAGCTATGGCAAAAATTGAACTTAGAAATTACTGTCAGTAAAAAGAATCACAGTCCAAGCAAGAAATGTTTCCGTCCTTTAGGGTAGGTTTCCTGTGGGATTTCAGAGTTGTGATGGAGTCCATTGGTGCCAGTCAGGTGACTTACAGTGCACCTCCCAGTGAGAGGACAATGCTATCCACACCTGATTGCCATCAGACTTGGTCAATTGATTTGTTCTGCCATTGAAATGTGAGAGAAGTGATATATACCAGTTCCAAGTAGAAGCTCTAAGAGATTCTATGTTTTGGCTTTGTTTTGTTTTGTTTCTTGCCACAATAACAGCATTCTCAAGTAAGAGCTGCTCACTGGGCTATATCCCAAAATGTGGAGCAAGGAAGGAGATAACACCTAATCCAAGAAAAATAAACTTTGGTATTGTAAGCCACTGAGAGTATATACATGTTAAATTTAAGATGTTTCTAAAATAAAGTAAAACAGTCAGGTGGAGAGTTGGATACATGAATCAGATACTCAGGAACAGATCTGAGCTAGAGATAAAATTTGGGAGCTGTCATCAGCTAGATTACATTAGAAGAAGATGACTCTGCAAAGGAGACAGGAATGGCCAGATGTTTGGAAGAAAGCCCTGAGTAAAATTTTTAATGTATTCTCACTTTTGCTGTCCTCATTCTTTATTCCTTTTGTTTCACTTCCATTTTTCCAGCCTAGAGACTAATGTGCAAGCATCAAGCCTGCTGGGTCTGCCTCACACGTTAATAGATCTCCTTTTTACATTTGCTGGATTTTGAGCACAGTTTGAACAGTGACTCTTCCTTCCTAATTCACCTCTGTATCTCCAGGGCTAGATGACACTGCCTTGTTCAGAGAGCACAGTAAACCCCACCACTCAAGAGAGAGACCGACAAGTCACCTGCATATTCCTTCACCTTGGTTTTTACCTTGAATTCTCTTTCTTCCACGTGCACATTCTACTCTGTGCTCTGGCTATATCAATAACTGTTTTTCTTTATAAGTTTTGAGTAGATACATTGAAGGTTTGCATAGGTATCAAATATAAAGAGCTACAATACAGTGAACATCTGTGTATCAACCACACGGTTTAGGAAAAAGAACCTTACCATTATCTTTGAAGTTTTCTTTTGCTTCTCCCCAATTCCATCTCATTCGCTCCTTCCTCAGAGAAAACCACCAGCCTGCATTTTGTGGTTCTCAACAAATGAGGAATAGAAGGAAACTTCCTAAAACTGATAAAGAGCATCTACAAAAACCTACAGATAACATCTATTGTGTCCATGTTTCTCTATATAATTTTACCAAGCATGTTTGTATTCCTAAACAATGTTAGATTTTGCATGCATTTTATCTTCACATAAATAAAACCATTCCATATGTATCATTCTAATTTGTTCTTTGTGCTCAATATTATGTTCCTGGGATTTGTTTGTAAAGTTTCATGTAGCTGAGGATTATTCATTTCTTCATCTATATTGTATGTTAAGGTATACCACAATTTATGCTGCTTTAGCCTTATTCCATTCATTTTGATAGTAATTAATAATTTCATTATTGTTCAGTTCAAAGGATATTAAAATACCAATTGTGATGTTTATTTGACTCATGAACTATTCAAAAATACATTTTAAAAAATTTTCAAATACCTGAAGCTATTTATCTTTTGTTACAGACATTTCTTTGTTTTCATGGAATATACATTATCACATTGCTGTTCTGTAGAAGTATTATGTTATACTTCTACATATGTAATTTTAAAATGCTTAGTTGCCACATTAAAGACTAAAAATAAACAAGTAAAATCAATTTTAATTATTTAACCCAAACTATCCAAAATATTATTTAAATATGTAATTGTCTTAAAATGTTATCACAGGTATTTAGATTTTTTGTACTAACTTTTCAAATTGGTATGTATTCTACATTTATAGCACATCTTAACTTGAACTGGCCACATTTTAACTGCTCAATAGTTACATGAAACTAGTGACTACCATGTTGAATAATGCAGGTTATAGTATAACCATTGTTTGAAATTAACTAAAACTTACTTTTTGTCCTAGAAGTGGTCAATTCCATATGAGCTGGAAAATAATGATGTATTTATCCACTAATTGTTTACAAGGTTCTAGATGTGAACCTTAAATCTGTCTTATGAACCTTAAGTCTCCTGTATCTTTAATGAACTATTTATTTGCTTGACCCTGGATTGCTACATTACACAACTGTAGCAAAGACATTCACATAGCAGTCTAGAGTTGTGCAGTTTATACTTCCATTGGCATATGTGGTGGTCCTGGGCTGATTTGTCTGTAACCGAGAAATCTGTGGTAGATTCTACCACTAAGGTATGGATTTAAGAATTTCTTTGTACAGTTATATCAAGTTTTGCTTTATATATTTTGAGGCTATTTTAATAGGCACATATAAGTTTAGAACATTCATAGTAAATTAAACTTACCATAATTATCAACTATTCGTTATCTATTTCTTCTTTAGTGAACTTTGTTGGTTGTTTAAAATATTTTGTCCATTTCATCAGAGTTGTCAAAATTAATGACATAAAGCTGTTCATAATATTTATTATAAAGCTGCTCATAATATTTCTCTATTATCATCTTAATATCTGAGGGATCTGTAGTAGTATGATCACTCTTATTTCTGATATTAGTAATTTCTGACTTCTCTTTTTTATTCCTGATTAGTCTACCTTGAAGTTTATTTTATTGATCTCAAAGAAACAAATTTTTGTTTTACTGATATTGTCTATTGTTTTTCTGTTTTCCATTGATTACAACTCTGATATTTTTTACTTTCTTCTGCCTATCTTGGGTCTTGGTATTAGGAAAGGAGGAAATAGTTTGAGGTTACCCCAAAGAAGGAGACTATGTAGAACTTGCTACTGCATGGTTGTGGTAGAAGAGAGAGAAGGAAATGTCAGAGATGATTCAAACCTTCAGAAATGACCCTTAAAGGTTTTCAGAAGTCAGGAGGAAATAAAAGATTGTAGGAGATGATATTTAATTTGGTTTTTGATGTATAAAATTTTTGGTGTTGATGGACCATTAGGGTGGAGATGTTGAACACGCAATTATAAATGAAAGTCACAGGTTTTTGCAGGAGGGTCAGAGCTAAAAGGAAAAGAGTGATGATGGAAAACAAAAGGATTAGGAGAATGAATGAGCAATAGAGAAGAATCACATACATAGAACATAAGAAGAATCATAATGATCATGCAAGAGGGAAGGGTCCCTGATCAATAAGCATACTTTTGCTGCTACTACTGATTTTTTATCTTAATTTCAGTGCCCCTGTGAAATTCTCTCATGAATTTCCTCCTGTCCTTACTTCCATCCAGAGGATCACAAGCTAAGCATGAAGATCTACTTACGTGGATTAAGATAATAAAGTGATCTTTATGTTTTCGAATTTCTTATATGTTTTATGCTATATTGCATCCCTGACATCACACATCTCTCTACTTAATTTGGTTTGTTCCTATCAATATTTGAGATAAGTAAAGGAAAAGAAAATTTCACAGGAACTGCTAACATGTATTGGCTTAATGACATATCCCAACATATTTTCCTTTTTTAAAGAAACCAAATATTGTCTGGTGCTATTTTAGAATTTAGTCATATACTTTTTGAACCACAACTTGTAACATTTTATTTTATTTTTTGCACACATGAACAGCCAGAAGGCATTTTATTGTATTTGTGACTCTGCATATGTTGTTAGTGTTTATTGTCAAAATAATATCTTACTACTTATTAAGCAAAAATTAAGCCTGGAAAAAATACCATATATGCAGCACTTGTAAATTGCTGTTAATAGTTAAAATGATATGTAGTAGCAGCATATATACTGCTAAAGAAAATAAACAGACTAAGTTTTGAAGTAATATCTTCTGACCCAGGAACTACAACTTAGGAATTGTGTTAGGGGTAAGTATTGACTCATTTGTCGGGTTTATGATTTTCAGGGAATTGATGCTGATTTCACATCAGAAAAGCATCGAGCAGCTGCAAGAAACCCTTAGACAGAAGCTGCTGAGTGATGATAACTGGAAGGAGAAGGTAATGGTAGCGTGGCTTTCATCAGCATGCAACCTATTTGCTTTTTAAAAATTCTGACCATTTGTCAGAAGACTCTTCCAGATAGATTTATTTGCTTCTATGCACACTTTTGATTCCTTCTGGAATTTCCTAGACCAGACATGCTTATGGAATGTGTCTTTTCCAAAATATTAGACAACATAATGAAAAATTAACAATGATAACACATTTTGAAATCTTGTAAGATAGCTCTTGGTTCTCATGCAAAAGCATATCTTTTTGCTTTTAAATATTTTCTTATTTCCTCATCAACTGTCACAATCTACATTTGATCATATTCTTAAAACCAGGGAAATAATTCTTACAACTTCTCTTCTTCTCCTATAAGAAGATGAAAGAATGGAAAATGACTTAGAATTATTTGGTTTTGGACTTTTGACATATATACCTTGACAAAGTAAAATGAATAAGCATTTAGCTTGCTAGTATTTACAGAGAAATGTTTGCTGTTGGAGTAGAAAAAAAGCTGCATTGGTTTTGGTCTTTGGTCTTTTTTGTAGTTTTCAAAGTTTCAACAATGAATAGGTATTACTTTCATAATTTTAAATAATAAAAGTAATATTTTAAAAATTGTTAGTCCGTACCTTCTCAGGTCATCCACAGCTCTAGTCATTGAGTTAAAAGCAGTCATCTTTCTGCCATAAACTTCCAGTACTCCTTGATTGATCCCTGGGCCATATTCTACACACTGACCCAAAGCATTCCCAACTTACTCTCTTCCATGACTGGTATCTATGCCTAGCACTGGCCTTCTGCCTTAGTTTTCTTATTATGCCTTAAATTTTCCTCTAGAAATGGAGCTGGTTGCCAAAATTCAGATTGTTTGACTGAAGTCCCGACAACTTGTTTGGGTTTTATCAGATTCTTCTCCTTGGGGATTGAACCCCATAACTTGTAGCCTCAGCAACAAGCAGTGGCCTCCTTCAAACTAACATCTCTACTAGGAATCCCTCACTCTACCATCCAGCATACTGAAACCCTTTAGGTATTCTTGCTGGCTCAGGACAATTTTAAATTTGTCGCTTTCATTTCCAGTCTTCAAACAGTTGGCCATACTCAGCCAACAGTAGCCCTCTAAAAATAAGTACCCCTTCCCTTCTCCATCAGGGTACACAGTCAGGATATAGTAAAAATGATCACTGTAACAATAGTACCACATGGACCAAAACAAAATTGGAGAATATGGACTAATGTTGCTATTTGTGTCTCATTCTTATTTTGTTTTATTTTGTAGCATAAGCCTTTTCTTTTCCTTCTTCTCTGAGGCCCAGCTTCTTTAATTCTTTCTTATTTTAATTAGCCTCAGGGTATTCAACTAACAGGTCTGCACTTATTCACTTTCCCTATTCTTACCAATCTATGTGTAAAAATTGAAAAAGAAGATTATCAGCCCTATTTTGTATAATCCAAAATATTCAAATTAGAACAATGAAAGATTGTTTATCCATCCAACTGATGGAATAGTTTAACACTGTGGTTAAGATCTAGTGAGATCGTCTCTCATACCTACTCTTTAAGGGACTAGAAATTAAAGCAACCTTTTTGGAAAGCAGTTTGTCAATATGTACTGAGATATTGTAAACTTCCCATGTTTTGACTCAGAAATTTTACTAATGGAATTAATGTGGATAGAGATTCAGAGTCATTCCGCTTCTCAAACTCCTGAGCTCCTTCTCTTAATATGATGGAGTAAACTTTCCTGCTTTTGCTTTTGTAGAAATTTCCCATCTCCATATTCATACCCCACTAGGGGTTTTTGGATACATTTCGCTGGAGAAAAAGTCTCTGTTTATGATCCCCTCTAGTACTTCTGTTCACTGTACCCTGTCTTGAGGTGCTAACAGAGTAGAACAAGTTAGTGTTAGCATCTGACATATAAAAGCATTTATGTTCTTGCTTTATGCTATTAAGTTAATTTGGTGGTAAAAATAATTCTATATAATATTCTATAAGTTCTTGCTAGGACCATGATATCTTTCTAATGAATTAATTATATTGCAGAGTTAATTATATTTTGGCATGTATAATTTTCTGTAGTATAAATGGACATTTCATTTGGTTGAAAGGACATGACTTCTTGTTAATAAATGTTATAATTTAGCTAGCAGTAAATCAAGATCCAGACCAGGAAAGCAAAGGACTAATAATTATGCCTTGGCTATGTTAGCTATTGAGACTATGAATAAAAAGTTATCTAAAAGTCTTCTCATGAGAAAGGAGAATCATTAATATGACATTGTCATCTCTTTCTTGGGTCACTGTGCCTTTGCCAAAGAATGAAATGTTCTTTTTACAAATATATAATACACATATTAAAATAAACTTCATAGATTAAATGGTTTTAACATGCAAAAAAGTAGATAGCAATTTGTGTCTGTGCTTAATTATTTTAGAGTATGTAAAAAGCACATAATAAGATCAATAGTTGCTATGTAACAAGGATGGCACATTTTTAAATAACTACATATTTACTAATTGTCATGGATTTTTATTTAAGTATTACTACTTAAAGAAAGCAAATTAATGTGCATGCTGAACCTTTAAAATTGGTTTTAAATGTACAATGTTGTTACTATTTAGTTAAAATTTTGTAATTAAAAAATCCTATAGCCACACTGCTTACATAATCAACTTACATTATTTAATCACTATCACTTTTTAGTGCAATAAGCAAATTCTAAGCAAATATTTTCTTAGATTATCATCAAGACATCACACTTAAGAACATTTTAGAATTGCACTAATGACCTCATTTAAAATAGTACATAGAGCTTTTGAGGAACCAGTAGTTAAAAAAACAAAAACCTTATTTCTTGACAGAAGCAACTAGATTGAGAGTGAAAATGCAGGTGAGAAAAGTTTACTTCAAGAAATAGTCAATTTTCAATTTTGAAGGAAGGCAAAAAAAAAAAAATCTCAAATTCGTTTTCAAAATTGAAGAACCAAATGACCTAATAATTCCTAATGTATTTTAGTATGCTATTATTAAAATTAAAAGGGATAATTTCTGACATACAAAATGTGACACAGATGTTATTTATAAAATATCAATTTTAATTTATGTGTAATAAACATAGATCAGAGGAATATTGAGGACATGCTTTAATTTTAATATTTTTTAAAATGCAGTTTTAGAAATTGAATTAATAAAATCTGAAAATTTTGGGTCAGGAGTGGCCAGCAGAGATCATCTCATAAACCACTAATCTAGATAACAAAATTTGTCTCTATTAATAATGTAATTTTCATTATTATGACATTATTATTTCCATTTTGCACATTACAAAAAAGACTTAGAGAAGTTGAGTAATTTACTAAAGCTATAAAGGCAGGAAATGAGCTGAGAATCAATTTCCATGTATCTAAATACAAAGTTCCATATTTCTGCATTTGGCCAAGATGGAGTGACAGGGACCAAATTTACCCTCCTACCTAAAACAAATAAAACAGTGAGGAAAAGATAGAAAACAATGGTTTCAAGACATTGGACATCTGGCAATGAAAGACAGCGATTCCTGGAAACAGAAGACAAACAAGGTGAGCCCTGTGATTGCTATAACTTAGTGTCCTGAAAGACATTTCAGGTCATGGTGCAGGGAGTTGGAATCCAGTTTGAGCCTGTCAGATTCTTTGAGTTGAGGAAACCTTGCAGAGTCCTGGGAGATCATGGTGGCTAAAGTTCACGGATAGTGTTCACAGGAGAGAGAGCTGCACAAAGGAAGAACACTGGAGATCTACAAAGAGTCCCCCCTTGCATATGTTTATGATCAAAGTGTACATGTGGGAAAAGCACACAAAGCCAGGGACAGACCGAGTCAGAGTATTGAATACTCACACATTGCCAGTGATTTGCATTTCCATCAGCCAGACTGGAAAACCTGTAATTTATAAGGCCCTGGGTAGAGTGCTGAAAAGGGTCTTGCATCACAAGTTGAGAAAAATTAGGCCTAGATGAAATGCTGATTTGATTCTGCCTAATACATTTTAAAAGGCAGACCTAAAATAATCAAGCTGATTTCAAGAAACTTAACTGCATCCTAGGACAGAGCTCAAGAATATTCATAGGAATACAAAAATATCTAGCACCAAACAAAGTAAGTTAACAATGTCTGGCATATAGTGAACAATTGCCATCCATGGAAACATACAAGAAAATAGGGCTCAAAATGAAAAGAAATATCAGTAAATAAAAACTAACGCAGAAGTGAGAATTAGCAGAAAAAACATTAGAACAAATATGATAACTGTATTCCATATACCCAAAAGCTAAAGAAAAAATTGACCATGTTAAGTAAATGGAAGATAAAAAATACCAGTTACTGAATTTTGAGAGACGAAAACTAGATTATCTGAAATTAAAAGTACACTGGATTGGACTGATGGCAGAATAGACATTCCAGAAGAAAACTTTAGTGAACTTGAAGATGCAGCAATAGAAAATCTTTTTAAATAAAACAAGATAGACTCCAAAACAAAAACAAACAAACAACTCAAAAAGAATATCAGTGAGCCATGAGACAGATTCAAGAGGCCCAATATATCTGTAATTGAAATTCCTGAAGGACAAGAGACAGAAGAGGGAACCAAAAAAAAAAAAGGAAGAAATAATGACTGAAAGTTTTACAGATTTAATGAAAACTAAACACCCATAGTTTTAAGAAGCTCAATAAGCCTCAGGCACAAGAAACCAAGTGCACCAAGGGAAATTATAATCCAGTTGTCCAAAACAGTAATAAAAAGAAATATTTTAAAGCAACTGGATTTTTTAAAGACATTATATAGAGAGGAAAGAAGACAGCAGATTTTTTTTTTAATCAGAAACAATGCAAGCAAAAAAAGTAGGATTGGAAGTACTAAAAGAAGGTTAGGGGGGCAGTGAGGAAAGCTGTCAACCTAGAATTCATACCAAGTGAAAAAATCTTTCCTTCAAAAAGCACTGAAAAAATGTATTACCAATAGAC